TTTTTTTTACACTCAAAGAGCAATCTGATTTAACTTTTATATACCACATTTGGTATTATCCTATAAAAATAAGCCTATAAATTGCCATACAAGTTGCCTACAAGTATCCTAATACAAAGGGATTTCCTCTGAAATGCTGGAAGTCAAAGTATACTTTAAAGTTATAGTGATAGGCATCTTTTTATCTATAACCTAGAAAACAGAATAACTAGCTTTATTTTTTGATGCCAACATGAAGATGATCTTTTGTTTTTCTTTTCAACATGCTTTTCTTTCGCTGTATGAAAGTAAAGGAAAAATAGCTCCTTGCCTAATCTTTTTGCATGAGGCTGGGGAAACAAACAAACAAAAAAAACTCGTTTCCAGAGAGTAAATGTAAAAAAAAAAAAATGCAGTTTCAGAACTGAATATGATAAAGATGCAAAATCCCCAAGCATTTTAATAAGTCAGATAAGTCCCGAGACAAGTGCTCACAGCTGAAGCTCAAGCTAACCCAAGATGGCAGGAAGTATGAATGAGGACGGGAGCAAAGAAAACAACCATTAACAGAAGCTACATACGTTTGAAGGTACAGAACCAAAGAAGCATTCTGCAGGCCGACAGGGTTACAGCGAATGGTGTAGTTAATTATTTGTGCCGTGGTGAATGCAGGCCTCCTCCAGTGCAGGAAGATGGAAGATGAGGTGTTAGCCTTGGCATAGAGATGGTGGGGTGGTGGTGGAGGAGGAACCATGCGATCACGAACAGCTATCGAAAAAGACAATGTTAATTTACCTCATGGCGTAACATTGATGGTAGGAAGTGGTAAATGGTAACATCGTTAACACCCCACCCAGTCAGTTGCCTTGAGGTCTCTCTTCCTTGAGAGGTTTGTAGTGGTCTGTTATTCAAATCTGACCAACTCTTCCAGGAATTAGATGAAGAATCAAATATTATCAGTACTTCGATTGTAAAACAGAAGCATGGAGAAGTCAAGCTACCAGCCAAAGGCATTCAGAAAGCCAGCAGTGGACTTAAAACTCGACAGACACCCACTTTAGTAGCAATAAAATCAAACAGCTCTTAGTAGCAATAAAACTGAACAGTAACTGGAAGGAAATAATTAGCCTCAAGGTTGGAGCAGGTAAAAGAAAGTTCAGTATATGTAGGTATTCAGGGTAATTTTTCCCAGTTAAATTTCTTACAGTCTTTTGCATGCAAAAGTAAAACAGGCTCTTATGATTGGATACAGATCACTTAAATATTTACTGAGCGGGTACTTGTTCAAGATGCTATCTTAGGCACCATGGAGGATATAGAGTGATCCCACCACGAAGGCTTCCAAGTAGTAATGAGACTGACACTTCAAGACAGAGGAGGAGAAGGCGTGAGCCATACATAGTGAAACCAGCGACCGTAACTCTTACTTACACACACATCCTGGCGTGCTGACTGTCTGGTCTGCCTGATAACCATCTTCTATGCTGTTGTAAGCCAGCAGCCTCACGTGGTATTTTCTTCTGGGGTCTATGAAGAAACCAACAGGTTAATAACTAGGTCTAGCCATCTAGATGCAAACAAAGGTTCTACATTTTGGTTTTTAAATCTTCTGAATGAATACCAGTTCTAAGTAAAATGAAATTTTCTCTCTCCCTATCCTATACAATGACTCAGCAATTCACCTTAGTATGTCATTACTTTTGTGACTACCAATTATTTTAAATTTTACTTTGCTTAGCCTCACTTCAAACAAGAACAATACTAACACCACTCTTCCTCCTCCTCCTCAACTGAGATAATTTAAAAGATGTCGTTTGGGTGATGAATCACTTATAAGAAGTTACACTATACAGGCATTTTTATTTAGTTATTTGATGGTAAGTTTATTAAAAGCATGAAAATCAAAGTCAGATGTTTCCCCCCCTCAAGGTTAAGTAGGATGACAACTGTCAACCTTTAGCACGTATGAAAATCTTTAGAACCATGTGTTATTTATTTCTAAGCATGACCTTTTCACAAACCTACATTTTCAAGTTGAGAGCTAAATTCACCAAGAAAGATGAGTTGGAGCTCCCTCTACTGGTATTCATTAACTATCACAATCTGAAAACCAAAGTCCATCCCATGCATATTAAAAAAAAAAAAAAAATTCTGGCTTCTGAGAAATAAATGATTATAACATTTAAATGATATACTTTATAAAATATACAAGAAGTTTAATTATATCAATAAATTTAAGTATAACCATTTATAACTACAGAATGCTTGCTTACAGTAAAAATAAATATTATTCAGAAATAATATGTCTTTTTTTCCCTAGCTTTATGGAGGTATAGTTGACAAATAAAAGTCATATATTTTAAGGTGTACAGTTTGATGTTCAATATACATATACACTGTGAAATAATCATTGTAATCAAGCTAATTAACATCCATCATCTCATGTATATGTGGGGAAAACAATACCTACACTCTTAGCAAATTCTAAGTAGACAATAGAATTTTTATAATTATAGTCCCTATGCTATAAATTAGATCTCAAAAAAATTTTTTTTTGTAACTGAAACTTTGTATCCTTTGATTATCTCATCCCATTTCCGCCACCTTCCAACCCTGGCACCCATCTTTCTACTCTGTTTCTGTAAGTTCAACTATATTAGATCCCATATGTAAGTGAGATCACACAGTAATTGTCTTTCTGTGTTTGAATTACTTTACTTAGAATAATGTTCTCTAGGTTAATTGCAAAAAGCAAGATTTCATTCTTTTTAAGGTTCAATAATATTCCTATATGTAGTGTGTGTGTGTATATATATATATATATATATACACACACACACACTACATATATATATTTTTAAAAGATACAGATTTCATTGCCTTTTGGTATAGTACCCAGAAGTAGAAAAACAGTAATCTTTAATAGATATAGCCAATGTGGAAAAGGATTTAGAATTTAAAAAAAGATAATTCTAGAGTGAATTCAAACATTAAAAAAATAAATTAAAAAAAATAAAATGTGAAGTTTATTAAATTCTTCTAGGTAATTTTGTGAGTTTGTATAAATATTTTAGAAATTGATTAACATATTCTAACATTTAATATTAAATTCCATTTAAAAGTTTTCCTAAAATAAAAATATTTATTTCTATTTGTTTTGATAAAATTAAAAACACAAAAAATTTATACAACTTAGAAAATTTCTGTTCTTTCTAGATAAAAAAGTAGGAAGATTAATAACTTCTGACTATAGAAAATGTTTCTCATATACATTATCTTAAGTATCACAAAAACCCTGTAAGATATATTATTCCCATTTATTAAAAACTGTGGTAAAAATGTATTAAGTAGTGTGTCTAATGTCATACAAAGTAGAACCAAGACCTTGTGGATATAACAGTACAGGGCCTTTAAGTTTACACAAATACATGGGCCCTGCCACTGCAGGTTTGTCTCATTATAATGACTTTCAAAACTGAAATATTTTCAAATATTTTATAAAATGATTACTGGAGAACATAGAAACATACTTGGATTTCATCACTCAAATGAACATTTGGCACTGAAATTCTAAGATCCACAAGATTTCGGTTCAGATTAAAGGCTACTTAATTTGAATCTGCTTTTTTTCTTTCTGTTGTTGTTAATCCTCCCCTGAGGGTATTTTTTCCCATTGATTTTTAGAGACAGTGGAAAGGAGGAAGGGAGGGAGGGAAGGAGAGAAAGATCAGTGAGTGTGAGCATCAATAGGTTGCCTCCTGCAGGCACCCCAACCTGGGCTGGGGATCTAACCTGCAACCCAGGTACATGCCCTTGACAGGGGATCAAACCAGTGACCCTTGGCTGTGTGGGCCAGTGCTCTCACCACTGAGCCACATCAGCCAGTGCTGCTTTTTTCTTTCTTTCCTCCTACCATGTTGCTGAACTCATCCGTCAGCTGAATCCTGAGTTCAGTTTTACAAATACTCCCTCTGAAAGGGGACGAATGGAATTCAACAGGCTCTTTGCAACCTAGTTCTTTATAAAGTCACAGTGCCATCTTCAAAAACATTTCTTCATTCTGTCTGTGCTCAGAAGAGTATCTTTAGGGAAGCTTCCTGAGTGTGAGTGAGGTCTTATGTCAGGAAGATAGCAGACACAGAAAAGGAAGGGTGAGACAGAATTAGCCCAAAGTAGCTCACAGCCTCAGGGAGCTGGACACGGATACAGCCCTCCCTCATAGAAAGCTGATTTTGATAAGGGTGTATGAGGGCAGCTGGAGAGATTATTCCTTTTTCTGCGGTGCAATCTATCAACACTTCATGAATACTTCTCTGGAATATTTTTTTAACCCTAAAATGGATTCTTCAAGTTTTCCCTTCTTCCTCTTTAAAAAATGAACTGCTTACACTAAATTTCAAACCCAGAATTAACCTATTTTTTTAAGGGTCAGGCAGAAGCAGAGATGAGAGACAGAGGTGCTCCCTTAAGACCCTCACCACCTGGCTATTTCCCACTCGGCACAGACTCCAATGAGCACTGTGAGGAGGAGCACACCCGGATGCTCATCTGGAACTCGTCCGAGTGGCCCATCAGAACCCTCTCCAGTGCCGGGCTGCTCCCCCTGCTCATTTATAGGAGGTCAGGAAAACGTAAACGAACGAGCAGGCGAATGGAGCACGTGGAGGTGCCCCCAATTCGTTTCTATCCACACACAAAAGGGAAGACGAGAACCAGGATAACTTTGGAAATGATTTTAGTGGGAAAAATAAATAGGACATACTATGTGGAAAACCTAATTTAGAGGGAAAACCCACTCACATTTGTTCACACGGATCCCTTCCTCATGCTCTACAAAGATTCTTGTTTTGAAAAATAAGAAGTTCAGGCTGGGCAAGCTGAGCAGTGGGCCACGTGCATTTGCCACGTGCTTCTGTTAGGTTTTAAAGCATATGACTCCAATCTCAAAATCTAGTCATTATGTCATTTTGGTTTGTTACTCCAGAGACCCAGGCACAACCTGGCTTATTCTGGTTCACCACTTTGTTAAAAATTTGATTTCATATACTGTCTGCAAATTGAAGAGGGGACTCAGGGGCCAAGGTCCGCAAATAATGTTGAGATGAGCATTATCAGGCAGTAAGACTCATTAACTAAGAAAGAAGACAGAGAACAGCTACCCAGTTAACAAATGGTCTCATAGAGTAAAAAAATTAGCTTAGGAACAATATATTAAAGACAGTTAAATGCACACACCATGTGCCTCAGCTTAAGGAGCACTAATCCTTAAACTCTGCAGTTCTGCAAAGACCCTCTAATACGTGGGGGACAAAGCAGAGACCCAGGACCAACCCTGCAGGGCCACAGGAACCCGTTCCCACGGTCTGTTACAAGCTCTTCTTGAGTTAAGTGTCACCACACCACATATGTGGTGCTTGGTTACGGAGACTCAGCAGAGTTGGGCTATGTGGTTTAGGGGGAAAACAGCAGAGTCAGGAAGAGCAGCCACAAAGAACAATGCAGACCTTCTCAAAGCTAAGCGAGGGAAGGAGGAGGAAGAGACAGAGTGGAGAAACTTGGTCCCAGATTCTTCAAAACTTAAAATAAGGGGTATTAAAATCACTCCTCAACAGGGCTAACTCTTAACGATCCCAGTGCTGATAGCTCACCTAGCGTTTGGATCTATGGTTAAAGTTGCTTAAAGGTTTAGCAATATATAAAGATGAAGGGTCAAGAAAGAAAGGTCAAATTAATTTAACAGAAATTGGACTCTAAATGTTTTCATTCCTAACTATGGAGGGTCAGCTTAAGCTAACAAAATCGTGGTCCCAGCCAAATTAACTTTCTTTATTAGGCAGGCAGCCTTTGGCCAAAATATGAGGCTCTCCTTCTTGAAGCACTGGAATAGCTCTACACTGGCCAAAATATGAGGCTCTCCTTCTTGAAGCATTGGAATAGCTCTACACTTTATCTTTACTCCACTGGCTGCAGGACTTGCCTCACTTCTGTGCTTTCTGATTCACTGTCACCACTAGCTCTTCTTCTTGAGTTTGTTTCATATAGGATCTAATCAGAACCAGAAGTCTGGTTGGTCAAGAAAGAGTTCAAGGTATAAATAAACAATGATCAGGTGACTCCTAAAAACCAGGGACTGACCCTCGCCAGTTTGGCTCAGTGGATAAGAGTGTCGGCCTGAGGACTAAAAGGTCTCAGGTTTGATTCCAGGCAAGTACTTCTACTCTGGTTGCAGGCACGGCCAGTTTGGCTCAGTGGATAAGAGTGTCGGCCTGAGGACTAAAAGGTCTCGGGTTTGATTCCAGGCAAGTACTTCTACTTCGGTTGCAGGCACGTTCCCCAGCCCTGGTTGGGACGCATGTGGGAGGCAACCAATTGATGTGTCTCTCTCTCATCAATGTTTCTCTCTCTGTGTCTCTCCCCCTTCCTTCTACTCTCTCGAAAAATCAATGGAAAAAAATATCCTCTGCTGAGAATTAACAACAACAAAAATCAGGCACTGTATGAAAGGCTCAAGGATTAGAAAGACATAG